CCCCGATTATGTTTCTAGATTTGGTCAGTACGACAACCGTGCTCGTGGGTTTCACCGAAGTGGTTAACGTCTGACACCTGCATCACTTCGGGCTTTCCTATCACATGGAACGGGGCGGTCGGGTAGCCTAGTGGGTAAAGCAGAATTTCACTATGTTGAAGAACCACCATAGTGATAGCAATTCGTAATTTATATTAGTACTGTGTACATAAGAGTATAGAATCCTAGTTCTGCTCGCCTTGCCCAATTGTGTGTTGTTTTGTTGACACCTAACATGGATATACAACATCGGCGCCGCAGTTTCTCGGGGATTAATTAATCAAAGTTGTTCAGACTAGGGGTGTTGCGTCTATACCCCAGATTTGGGTAGATTATTGGTAGACTGAAGCTTATGGTAGTACCTAGACCCTATTTCAAGGGAGGTTTGGCGCTATTATTAAGTTTATCATTTGCTTCAAATGTTATTTATAAATAATTATATCTATCCATAACTAGAATTTTTGCACCAACCAAGGTCCAAGTATTCGTTTCTTCTATTTTACTTGATTTGCCAAACACTGCAACATTTGTTTTTTCACCTTTAATCTTTAGGTTATTTGTTACACGAAATACTCTTAGACCATCAAATAACTAGTGCAGAATTTTTGGAAGTGGCAAAAAGTACAAAGTCATCGGCAAACAACAAATGACAAATGTTTAAAGTATTAAGTGTTATTTTGTTATTTTCTTGTTTGATATGTGGTGGACGATCATTGTGGAATATATTCAATAATCTGGGAGACAAAATGCACCCATGTCTTATGCCGATGTTGGATTTAAAGGATTGTGAAATGCCCCGTCAATTTTCACTTTATAAGAACTATTTCCTGACATTTTATGTGAAATAGCTTTGTTAGGGGTAGTGCTCTGTCAACTGAATCAGAGGCCTTTTGAAAGTCTACAAAGGAAGTGTATACATTTTTCTTTTTACTTTTTGTTAAAACTATTAATTAAATATTTTATGAACAAATATATTGCTTGATGTTCGGTAGCCCTTTCTTAATCCAGAATGAATATCTTCATTTTTGGAAACAAGAAGTCTAGACTCTCTAGACTCTTTCCTTTTAGGGTCTGTTAGGGGACTTGTTTGTTTATTGTGACGTGATACTTTCTGTGGCAAGTTCCAGATCCCAGAGGAGTTTCTAGGGAGTTAGAGATGTCACAGCAATAACTGGATAACACATTTAGTGCTTCTGTGAGATCCTAAAAGATAAGCACATACTACCTGAAACCCAGAATGGGGCATGCGGTTGACATTCAGTAAGAATGAGGTTCATGAAGTTGACAGGGCTAACTGATACATATAAACAAGGAACATCCTGCCTCATGATAAAAGTGCTAACACCAGCTAGCTACAGATTTTTGAAACTTAGGCCGTGGTCAGCCTTTAACACACCCAGGGCATCTCACAACAGACTCTCAATAAGACTCAGATATTTACAGAGCGCTGAGAACTCACAAACAGGGCTATGTAACTTTCAAGACTTGATCATGTCCAAAAAAATATTTCTTGCAAGGTACGTACTATTTTTTAAAGTTTTCGTGCAACGTTGAAAGGAAGCAGGATTTGCTTTCAAAATGCCACTTTGGGAAACATGTACATTGTCACGTGTTAGTTTTTAGTAATTTATTAAAATAGAGGCGTTTCTTTTCTCCATGTTTGCGGGTATAATATGTCCAGAGTTTTGTTTAATGGGTTTCAAATGGTTTTCGATTAGTATGTGCTCGCATGTGAAACGTAAAATATTAAAATTTCATAAAGAAGAGCACTCCACGTATCTTTCATGTCGGGGACAATACGTATTGAATGACGGTAGGGTGAAGGGCGTTTAGGTTTAGTCTTTATCATATGCGCTGTGGAAATGAGTATCTATTGTTCTTTTTATGTAAAATACATTCATTTGAATATTACTTTTTCTCATGTTATGTTATGTTATGTTATGTTATGTTATGTTATGTTATGTTATGTTATGTTATGTTATGTTATGTTATGTTTTGTTATGTCATTAAACATTCTTATGGAAGGAAGGAGATAATAATGCTGCATACCCGCATTTGAAACTATTTCCATGCTCCTGGATTTGCCACTAAGTTTTCAGGCTATTTCCAAAGGGATGTTGTGTAGATAATCTCCCCCGTGTTAAAGGAAAGCCATATAGTGTTCCAAAGGGGGTATTGAGAGACTCCTTTTACGTTTGTTTATACCTAAATAGTTAAGGAAGGAGAAAATAGTATTTCAAATATAGTTTTCCAAACGGGACACAGAACGATTCCGTTTACGTTTTTTTATGCCTAACTAGTTAAGGAAGGTGAACATTGTATTTCAAACACGTATTGTAAACTATTTGCATGCAAGAAATGCGAGGCTCCCAGATGTGCCACTACGTTATCAGGCCATTTCCAAAGGGACGTTTGCATAGACAGCCCCTCGTGTTGGTTGGGTTGGTTGGTTGTTTGGTTGTTTAACGCTGCACTCAGCAATATTCGAGCTATTTGACGGCGGTCTGTAAATAATCGAGTCTGGACCAGACAATCCAGTATTTAATATGATGCGCATCTCTTCACGCAATCGGGATCGATGATCGTGTCAAAGCGAAGCTATATATCTTCCCAAAGTGCGTTTTTAAACAACTCTTTTTAAGTTATTTGATGCCTAAATGAATGTGAAAAGAACTAATACTATTTTAAACCCGTATTTTAGCGAATAGTAGAGCGAATACATTTACGTTATTTATGCCTAAACAGTTAAGGAAGGAGAAAATAGTATTTCAAATACGTATTTTAAACTATTTCCATGCGAAAAATGCGAGGCTCCCAGATGTGCCACTCAGTTTTCAGGCTATGTCCATAAGAACGTTTGCATAGACAACCCCATGTAGTAAAGGGAAGCAATATAGTTTCTAAAAGGGGGTATAGAGCGACTGTTTTAAAGTTATTTTATGCCTAAATGGCAAAGGAAAGAGATAATAATATTTATAATATTTCAAACCCGTATATTAAACCTTTTCGATGCGAAACATGTGAGCTTCACAAATGTGCCACTAAGTTTTCAGGCTATTTCAATTGAGACGTTTGCATAGACACACACACGTACACACGAACACACGAATGCACGCACTCATTCACTCACTAACACACAAATACGAAAGTAATGGTATATGTTAACTATATTGTTCGTACTATATAAGGTTATAGAAAGAGATGGCTGAAACTCGTTAATGGAATTGTGATATACATAAACCAAGAGCATATATTCCTAGTTATAAAGACATTGGTTCTAGTTTAAACTGCCTACACCTTGTGCTAAAAACTGGTAACAGTGTTAACATAAATTTAAGGATTCTAATGGTTGTACACATTTCTTCAAATGTTTATATATTGTCATTATTTTATTTCTTCCAGGCATGGACGTTGTGAAACAAACGTGAGTATTATTATCTACAGTGGCCATGTAACCTAGACATTGTAGCACCCTACCTTCAGTTGGTTACAGGTTTTCATAAATGCACGGCGAAGATAATGGATATCGGCGCGTTATGTTTCATTTAGTACTCATAAATGTAAGTGGCTTTACACCACTCAGTGTCCGGGAGTCTCAAGCAATAGAAACATAGGACTTCTGTTGAAAACTTGTTGATTTTACACTTTCTACCTTTGTCTACAGAATGAAGACATATGGCACACAAAAGAGCTCGGCACATGTAAGAGTTTACTGGCTAAAGTTGATGGAATATTCCAGTGCAAACTGTGTCCAGAATCAACGTCACGGCGGTACAATATCAAGGAAGGACACATAAACAAGCACACACAACATGCCGTCAAAGTTGGGGGTATGTATAAATTGGTGTTTGTTATTAATCTAATATTGCGTGGTATGTACCTAGCGTATACGTGGCATTACGCATACGTGTAAAACGGTGTCCATTACACAACCTCACAAGCCCAACGCACCATTTTATCTGGTATAATAGTGAGGTGAGGTGAGGTAAAATGGGGTTTAACGTCGCCTCGAAGATTATTGCACTATTTAGCGACGTGCATGCTCGTGTTTGTGTGAGTGGCTGCTTGTACTGGTCCGGACTGATGCCGTTTTATAGTGCTAGCTCACTAAGATACCATGCCACAGTTTAACATGAATACCCCACACAGAGACAGCATACTGACTCCGAGCCGACCAGTCCTTGTTTTAGCACCTTAATGCCGAGCGCCAGACATGTTAACAACAAGTACCATCTTTTGGTATGACGCGGCCGGGGATCGAACCCCGGACCTTCCGCTCACCGGGCGGACGTTCTACCACTAGACCACGGAGGCGGTCCGGTATAATAATCCGTATTTGTGTCCTTGCAGATTTATGGGTGTTAAGCTGCTTTTTGGATTGTACTCCGAAACAAGACCGGTGCCATTACCACTGCCCGTGTGGTAAACTCTTCCGGAGAAAGTTCACATTTGTCCGACACACGACCACGGTTTGCCCTTTTGTTCTGACAACAAACCAGACAGCTTCTGAGGAAAGAACTTCAGCAGAGTCCCCTAAAATCCAAAAAGTGAAGAGAGAACAAGTTCCGAAAGTGACATGTTTTGTCTGCAATGCAATGATCTCTAAGAAAAACATTAAAAGACATATTGAGACACACAAAGCACGAGATGAAGTGAAAACCAAGTCATACCAACGTGGAATATGCGTTGATAAACACCGCGGTCTCTACATGATCAGCAAGTCCAGTATCGGTCCAGATTACCCACTTCATGTTCAAATGAACACTGTCACACAGCAGATACAATGTGAACATGAAAATTGCAATTTAGCTTTGGGTGTTGCAGCAAGGGGCAATGTAGGTATTTATCAGTGCCCCCATTTGCAATCAGTTATGTTTGCAAGTGAATGCCCGAAAGAAGTACACCTCCAGTCAGAACATGCTGAAAATCTTTGTCAACAGAAGGTAATACATTCTGCTAACATGCAGGTTGCCCAGAAGCTTGTAGGCACTGCAGAACAAAGCAAAATACCTGTCGTCGTTTTATGGGAGCAGAAGCACTCTGTAAACAGCGTTTATTTCTCCGTGTATGATGGAACGAAGGAATACTGGGCTAAACTCGGTCGCGCTGTAGTCACATTCTTCAAGGACAAAGGACAGCTGAATTGCGTTTGCTGTAAAACCACCAAATCTTGCGTACACAAGACTCTTGTCAAATGGTATTTGGCACAGGAACACCCAGAGTTGCTGCACATTAGCTCCAAGGGAAGCGGTTACATCTGTAGTGAGAATGAAGGGGTATCAGTTGGACATTATCGTAGCGAGGAACCAACAACATCGGTCACCTTTGAAACCCGAACCTTACAAGATTCCGGAAGCAGCTTCTGTAAGACATACCCACCATCTGGACAAGGTGCACGTTTAATGGCCAATTATCTAATGTCCAGGAAGAAAATACCACCAGATTTTAAAGTTCCGGAAAATGCCCAATTAGGACATCTAGAAAACCTGTCACCTATCGAAACACATTGTGTAATGTGTGCAGATGGAGGAGAACTTGACCAGTATCTGGTAACCAGAAAGGGGAAGATATACGATAAAGGTCATGTGTATACAGGTATGTATGGTGACCGTAAATACCTTACAACAATTTATGCAAACAAATGAAAATTACTTCCTAGCAAATGAGAGCCAATTTATGAATGCGGACTGTAATTTGTAATCCGACAGGTGATATTGCTTGGGTGAGATGATGCGATATTACCTAGGACATATTGCTTCAATGAAACTGCATCATAATGCTTTCCAGACTATTGTGACGTCATCAGTTGTCACGACATCACTATCTAATGGCATAACTAATCTGTCTACCATCGAAACTGGGCAAGCTATGGCGATTTAAACTGTTATTGAACCGTGTTGATATAGTTGGCATAAAAAACACAAGGGTGCGATTGTCTGTATAGTGTATCATACTAGTATGATTTTGAATATGACTTTTCTCTACAACGTTTTAATTACATTATTTCATTGTCAGATGTAGCTGTTTTCATAAAGAAGTGCAAAGCGTGCGGTCACTTCTACAGGTACCAAGAGCACAAGGATGGTATACACAATTTTGACGACCACGTGTTCCTGTCAGTTCGCCTGTGCCACTGGTTCAGAGTTAACTTGAAGGTACATTATATCTAAGTTAGTTAGTTTATTGACGACTCCCTTCTCCAAAACAACACTTTGCATATTTATGTGATCGTGATATCTGATTGTTGTATGGCGCATTGTTTGTTGATATATGCACTTGATGTTGGCCGGTGACATTCGGACTTTAAACACTTTTGACTGTTAACTTAGGATTAGTTTAAAATATCGGCATAATGAATGTGATCAATTTCGCCTGCTTAATGGTTTCAGAATCATACAGCCGTTGGAAGGGCTGCCGATATCTTATCAGAAGATTCCGGCTTACATTTTCCCGGAGACAAAATGTTACAGGGATATCTGCACTTTGAGGCAATGTGCGATCACAAGTACAACTTTACCTGTGACATCTGTGGCCGTTTTCCATGTTGCCTGGTGACAGATGCAAATAGGAAATGTGCATTTCCATTAGCATGTAAGTCTAATTTATAATTTCCAGTGTCTAAGAAATGTATAAGCGCATTAACGATGTAGTTTCAAAATGTAAAAATGGAAAGCAAAAATGTAAGGTCCATTATCTCATGGTTGGTCACAAACAATATCCCATAATGATGTTTCCTAATCCCTGTTCTCTCGTCTCTTATGGTAAACATGTATTGATTACAGTGTCACAAGTACCAGGGACAGAAACAGCTACAGATGGAATCAACATGGATGTGTTTTGGAGCCAAACGGTGGAGGCGTCTATTTTACTTCGAGGTTTTGGAAAAGGTGCAAATCCTCATATTGTATTATAAATGACTCATCTTGTCTGTGTGTGTGTGTGTGTGTGTGTGTGTGTGAGAGAGAGAGAGAGAGAGAGAGAGAGAGAGAGAGAGAGAGAGTGAGAGAGAGAGCGCGAGAGAGAGAGAGGGGGGGGGGAACTAAAATTAAAGTTACTGTAAGGATATTGTTTATATACACTATAATGTATTTATCATTTCATTCCCCGGCAGAAGCAGCCAACGTCGGGCGTGTTACACCTAGTTATGACAACTGGGCTCCTTTCATTGGATTAGCCAGAAAAGATGAAAATGCTTTCAACACTGAAGCTGAAAAAGTTCGATCTCTCAGAACCCATCTTCGAGATACAGATTTTGATACAGGGGATAAGGAACTGACTGAAGATTTCCTGATCCAAATGTTATGTGAAAAGAAGGTAAATATGACATAATCGAAATGCCTTATTGATATCAACTAGGCACATTTGTATATTCTTGCAATCTTGATATGCGTAGGTAGTAATATTACAAATTGAGATATGATATGATATGATATGATAAGCATAGTCACTCATGTTTTCGACATTTTCTATATCATATCATGTAGGTTCTGGATGTACGGCACTGGTGTACAAAGATGGAAGTAGACGCCAAAGGGACCAAATTAGAGATGATCAACAGCTTGAAGGAAAAGTTGAAAAGCAAATCGACCTTCAACAAGTTATTTTCAAGCATATGGGGCCAGTCTGGTAATTATGCCTGCTATTGCATTTAAAATGATGAATAAAACATATATAGTGTGTGTTCCCACATTCCAGTGCCAGACCAAATGATGCAAAATAACTACTTACTTTGTAACACAGTGGCTTTTGCTTGGTAATATTATTTTCGTTAAATGTCTTCAAGATAGGCCATCCCCAGCCCCCTCTGCATAAGAACCAGCACTGAGTCTGTTAATGGAATGTCATTTTGTAACTTGAAACTCCACAATCTGACTACTGGAGTATATAGTATACTATTAAAAGCAAGGTTAAACCAAATGTGTCCCATCACTATGTTAATGCTCATTCAGGTGGATGGGTATCAGCGTCCTGCCCCCATAGAATAGTGTACGCATTCAAAGCTATTCTGAGGCCTGAAAGTGTCAGAGACCATGTCGACATCATTCTATCTATGTCAAGACAACCGCCAGTCATCATTAGTGACGTAGCCCCAATGATGTCACGCCATGGTAACAAGCGGCGGAAGAACATGTTCTCGCCCAACGAAGGACGCTTGGGTGAAGCGACTGCAGACAACATAAAAAAAGCTAAGGAGGGGGTATTTTCAAAGAGTATACCTTGCATGAAGGAATGGGTGACAGTAGCACCAGTCTCCGACAATGATTTGCCAACCTCAAATGAAACGTTCTGTTTGCTGGATAGGTTTCATGAAGGGAATACAAAATCAGATGAGGAACTCCTAAGGCGTATAACGTTTGTTCCCGAAATGAAGGGCTCAATAAATTCACAAGTTGAAGAGCAGCTGCACAGGGAAATGAACCGGAACAACTACTTTCTAGATGCGATGTCGCCGGGAAACTACATGTTTGTCCTGCGATTGCTTCTACATTTTCACAATGAACATACAAACAGGAAAATGACAGAAGCAATCAAAGGAAAACTGTACACAGACATTTCGTATGGTGAAATACGTCATGACAAGTTTGGCCGCCTGCATCTGTCAGGTAAGAACTTATAAGTGGCATTCTATGACATGATCATGTATGACGTTTATTGGGAAGTGAGTGAGTGAGTATGGTTTTACGCCGCTTTCATCAATATTCCAGCAATATTGCGGCGAGGGACACCAGAAATAGGCTTCACATGTGGGAATCGAACCCGGGTCTTCAGCGTGACCAGCAAGCGTTATAACCACTAGGGTACTCCACCGTCCATATGAAGAAATTGAATACAATATAATAGGTTGACATTATTTTGACGATATACGCCAATCAGCACGCACAAGCGTCGTATTTCATTTCCAAAGTGACATTTTACCTTCCAGATTTGGACAATGCAGCAGAAAAAGAAGGTAACTTGATACAATTTATTTCTAACATGTTGATATACATGTACCTAAACATGCAGCATGATTTAGCATCCATTACGTGCCATGTCTAATTGTAAGTTAGATGACAAGAAATAATAAAGGCTCTTGTTGTATTTTATTTGAACTTTTACAATGGCATGTTAAACTTTATCTGTTGTTTTTCAGTGATCCATTCATATAATTTTCAAGGCTATTGTTCCTTTTACAACCAATGGAATCTGCTTCGTCGGATAATCGAGATAATCGTTCTGGTGTTGACCTTTCATATTTACAGGGAAAACAGACCTTTGGACGAGGACTGAAGACACACAGAAGCACAAGAAAATATCGCTCAAATGTAAGTAACATTTATGTATCTGTTGGGCAGTGTGGTACCCTAGAGGTCGGTGTTCTTCCCGATGGTCAATGTCCGATTTCACACGTGGGAAATGCATGAAGCAAATGTCTTATGTCCCTGTATGGGATATTGCTAGAATAGTGCTAACAGCGGCATCAAATATTAGTCATTTCACTGATGAATCTGTTGACCTGCATGTATTTTTAACACATTAATATAATGTTTTAATGTGAAGTTCACATGTCATGAAGTCACATGTCATGTCAAGAGGCCGGTCACATGACCACGAAACTGACGTTTATAAGCGTATGAACAACACACATTGAAATTTAGATGCATGTCTTCATGAGACTGTATTTCAGAAATTGTCGTAAACAATGGCGGACTTCTTCCACATCCCCATGGGAAACTCCTGGGAATTCTCTATCACGAAGAATTGAGAAGTGTCAGTATTGATCATTTGGGCATTTTCATCTTGAACTTAGGGTTTCTGCATACAAGTGTTTGACTGTATGGCAGTGATGGAATATCCTCGTTACGACTCATCCTAGTGAACATAATATTTAAAGATATGCACACACAGACTATAGACTCGATCCGTGCCTAGATTGACACATGTGCGCGCGCGCACACACACACACACACACACACGCGCGCGCGCGCGCGCACACACGCACATATATATATATTTATACACACACACACATATTGCCTACTTTTTATTGTACTTTTGTAAGATACAGATCACAAAGTTACCTTGAAACAACTGCAAGAAGCACTGCAGAAGGCTAGTCCATCAAACGTGACAACGTTTTGCCAAGGGACATCAGAACGACTTCTGGCCTCGGTAACCGAACACGGGCTGCGTTTTAGAGGGAGAACTGCCGGAGATGGCAACTGTTTTTTCCACGCAGTTGTAGATCAGCTTCAACGCCTCGATACCAGATCAGTGTTTGACCACAGGGGACTAAGGATGGCAGTAGTTGACAGCCTACGGAGGGAACCTTATGTAAGTGCACACCGGACCATATATTTGTGCATATGTAAGCTCATACAGAACCCTTCTATATAAGGGCGAGCTGTCATGGAAGACGCATGCCACTGATATATGCTTAGGCGAGTACAGTATAATAGGCTAGTATTGGCTTCAAATTAATCTGTGTCTAGGAACACATTTCGAAAGGATAATACATAATCAGATAACAACATAATGGAAAACAGCATTGCCAAGGAATCACATGGAGAATTCATGCAGATAACCATTGTGACGTGTTATTGGTCTGGTGAGGGTACTGGGGTTGCCCTTCGGGTGCAGATACACTCGATAAGTGAATACAGATGATACAGGATGTCTGCGCACATCATTCAAATTCATAACACAGGTATTCAGTGGGGTTCAGGTGGAGGTACGAAATTTCGCTGGACAAGGCAGTTCCAAGACTGGCATAAAACATGCCGACTAAAGTGGAGGATAATGTCAGTTCTATAGCTGTGTACATGGTCGGTATTTTCTAACATGGTTAATGGACGTAACTCTGCACAGCGAATAGATGACAGCTCCTTGTTCCTCGCCCCATTCAACCTCACGTCGCTATGATTAGAGTTTAAGGCGCATGTAGGTGTTTAATTTCAGAGAGTGATTGTGGTTTTAGCCGGTCAATGGAACCGTTGATGACCTCAGAAATTAGATCCATAGATGGTACTCATGTGGGAAATGTAACAATGGCTTGCGGCGTGACAAGCAAACGTTTCAGCCACAATACTACACCCACACCCTAAGTGTGCCTAAAATTGATATATGATGAATTACTAATTAAAATGCTACCAAACCTGCTTGTGTAACGTCAATTATATATACTTGTTTTCTATAGGAAGGAGGCACACACCTTTCCAATTTTGTCGATGTGCAACGACACAAAACCTGGAACCTTTACTTGGAGGCCATGTCTACACCTGGTGAATACGTTGATCACCTTGTAGTACAGAGAACATCGCAGTTTCTCAAAAAGGACATTGCCGTTTTCACAAGTTCCGAAGATGGAACCGCGTCCGACAGCAATGTTGTAATGATATCTGGTGGACCAGGAGCGGCTATGATGTTAGGTCACTATCATGAAGCACATTATCAAAGTCTGGATTTCCAACGTGCTGGTAAGTATTCTATATTCAATATTTTCATTCATACGGGTTTCATATATAAGTAACTAAAAGATCAAATATGAAATAAGTACCCACTTTTGCCACACATTTGCTTTCACCAACAGTTCTTCTATATCAATTCTTCTAATTCAAGAACCTGGGCCAGTGGTTGGCATAATAAGTGTTATCATCCGATACATTTTAGTCGTCTCTTAAGACAAGCGCTGGCGACTTATTCTAAATAAATACAAAGTATAGAATCTAATACAACCGCATACAACGCGGAATATTTCCTTTAACTATCACCACTATTGAGCCTTTTACGCCCAGTGGAATCTGTTTCGTCAGATTATCGAGACTGGTTAATCGCTGTCGTTGACGTGTTACATTTAAGAATTAACTTCAATATATATCTTTTGCTTTTATGTTGGTATAAAGATAAAACCCGGTTTGCACACTGTGTACATAAGCATAAATAAGTACGTCAACGATAGTAACTTCACAGACTGTTCATTAAACAAACAACTGTAGCCAACATTTCGAGCTAAAACAGCGCACACACTTCATAAGCCAATCATAACACAGTTGTTCGTTAGTGACCTAAATATTTTTCGGTAATTGTTTCCGCCTAAAATTCCTTGGTTAGTCAATGAAATGCCATGGAATCACTTGCAATGTATATAAGTACAAGTAATAAAAAAAGTAATACATGACGTATATGTCATTTTAGCAAGCTGTTGCCGAAACAATCCGTCATTGTTATTTTAGGACAAGTGGAATGTTCCACCGCGCAAGCAGATTCATCACCATTGCCGGCGGAGGATGTGGTGAGTGTGATGAAACATACTGATATTTTCGTCTTTACAAATATGCTTACGATACAGGGCGAACTGCCTTAAGGTAGAGAGTCATGTAATAATGTTTGTTATTACAGGGCGGTTTAACTGTAATTGTTACTTGTAACCTATAACTAAGTACACTTACAATATATAAAGGAAATATAAACTTGGCGGATACAATGATATCTTTGATATATAGATATAATTTGTTGTATGTTTTTCAGTTTCAAGATATCTGTAATGATGACAGAAGATTGGACGAAATAGTAGTGACGATAGGTCCCTACCGAATATCAAAATTGGATATTCTGACAATAGCACCAATACTTCCGAAAGAAACAGAAGACCAGCTGAGAGTGAAAATTGACAAAGAGACCAGATGGGCTGTGGGCTGGCTAAATGATCAGGTATGTGTACACCACTGTATACACATGAAGTACATTTATTAAACGGTGATAAAGTGGAACAATAACGTTAATAATATTATGTTTCTTTGCAGATAATAAACGTCTTCTTGTATGTGCTGTGTCAAAGGCGGGGGGTAAGTGACAGGATATTCAACATACCGTGATATATACATATGATATGTACAAAATGATATGTAGATATGTTTACAAGATGCCATGTCATTCATTAATAGATTAATCAACTTTGTTACAAATTGTGATAATGTGTGCAAATACCAAAACAATATTCGTCCTTGAATATATCACTTGCTATTTTAGAATATGTTATTTGTTTCGGGGTAAGCAGAGAAACGCAGCTTTATCAAGCCAAGTTATAGAGGGATGGCAACATTTCAAGTCCAAAAGGAGACGCCGGGCGCCACTTGTTCAAAAGGTCAGAATTGCTTTTTAGAAATATCTGCAGTTACAATTTTAAACTGAAGACAAAATATGCCAAGGGAATATATAGTTTTTTTATTCGCCCGTAAAGAGATCACCCGTTTAATAAACATACAGCTGTATAACACGGTGTATAATACCAAAGCGCGTTCTTATATACTGCGGGAACAAGTTTCAGTAACAAATATTGAAAACTCCCAACATCCCTGGGCTTATTCAACGACATTGCGTGTAGTGACGATAGATCACTGAGAGGGTATGCACACACAATGACCCTCTCAACCCTGATGCTATGCTGACGTCACATGACATTGTTTCGTGGTTGGATCTTGTAACAATATTCTACATATTACGTCAGAGGGTATTGTGACGTGTTGTAATCTTTTTGATGCAGCATCCTGAGAAGCCGGAGGTCTTCCATTAAGACCGAGGGTTTCTGCAAATGATAATGCCCTGAAAAATAGCGTTACCGTTATAATAGCTAAAAAGGATGGAATTTGTTATCAAATAAAAAGAATCAACGATATCGGTTTTGAAACATTTACTGCAATCAACACGAATGTCACTGACCCGCTTTTACAAATATGGAAACGCCATAGAACAAACCAGATGACGTCACTATTGAACATGACGTCACCTATCCCTATCCTAACAAATAGTCAAAACCCAAGTATGACATCATCTGGTTTGTTCTATGACATTTCCATATTTGTAAAAGTGGGTCAGTAACATATTTAGAAAAGTTATAAACGGCAAGTAATAAATAAATTACTAAGCTCGCTCCTGTTTAATAACATTTTTATGAAACTCGTCAATAGTTTCTTATATCGGACTCCCTTTCGATCGTGAGATACCAGAACTATTCACTCGTTTCATACAATAAGTATTACAAAGGAGCTCGTTTAGTATTCTCTATTTGTCATAAAGTGGGAATGGGTAAAGAGAAGCATATTTCGAAGATGACGTTGAGGAGAAGATATCATTCACTGTCGGTTGGTGAATAAGAATCGCCTAGCCTTGCAAGGCTTGTCATTATTGAGAAAGGAAAATTAAATCTTCAAGAAAAAGCGTTTTCTGAAATTGACAGTATCATAAGTGAGTTAAGATGCACTGGAAGAGTTTGTGAACCGCCGAAAGACGCCGACATATTGAGGAAATGAATTGAATGAATTGAATAAAATTGATGAAGACAAACATTCCCTTAATGTAGCAACAGGTAACTGGATACATATCAAGTCTAATCGTTGCACATATATGAAACCTTAAGACGGGATATTATGTTGTTTGTTGTTGTAATGCCACAATAAACAATAGTCTAGGTATATGGCGACGTTTTAATCATGTACATGCTACTGTTGGAACTACTTCTAGATTAACAATATAATATGAGGTACGGTATGAAACAAAAGGTATGTTTTCAAGATGGATGCATGTTGTTATACTGTCTTCAGTTGTCAGATATATATGGGCAGTGAATGTCATAAGAAACGTTTTAATAGAAGATAGATGCAGTTCTTTTGATGGTTGATGTTTGAACATAATGACATGGAAACGAACTATGTACATGAGATGAACAAAGATATAATTTACCAGTGATATTTTAATCAATTAAATATTTTATGGCTAACTGAAAATTGCCACAACACAACAACATAGGCTACTGTGAAAGACTCGCTATACTAATAAAGAAAACAAAATTTAATGTCCTCAATAATATATGTGAACAACCGATTGCCTGTTAATACATATGATACCAGAGATGTTCAAGGGACGACATGAGATACCGTTTGTAGGCTGAGATTAAGTACACAATGCCGTGAGACAGCACAACCTTAGTCCTGTACTGTAGATTGTAGGTATTTGAGTATTGTTCCGAATGTAAAGGACCATGTTCGTTGTATTTCAGGAAAAACTCTCGGAAGCAGAGAAAGTGTTCATACCGATTCACAGACATGGAAGCCATTGGACATTGCTGGTAAGTTGTATTTCCTAGGTATTTGAGACAGAAATTGACCACACATGAACGGTGCCTATCGTATGTGTGTAATTGTGTGACTCACGTCGAAGTGTGTGGGCGTGTGTTGGATTTCAATCGTGTGACTGAATTTCGGGTCGTCACTTGATCCTCAGATTTGTGTACAGGCCCACGTCGGTTGGCAAAAAATACATACCTTTTTGTGCAAATTGTGTGAATGGCAGCTGCTTCCATTTGGGGAGACATGCTTACCCCTTGCGTCGTCTTTGATTTTCAGTTTACCTTTATGTGAAGGTCACATATAGACGTACAACAGTTACTGTCACTCCTTATTTCTGACGCAGGTGTTGGATGTACAAGCCAAACGAATGCGCTTCTATGACCCCTTGAACCGGAGATTAGACGAAGAAGTGGTCAACACAACAAGGTAGGGTTGCTGAATAAGTAAATGCCCTATATCGCCACATCTATATGAATAAATGAAGTAGTTTTATAGCCTTACAAGTACATGGCTGCTTACGTTATTACTATGAACTGCTGCGTTGCCTGTCGGTCCAAACTCATTGCATTTGCACTTTTCTTCAAAGGGAGTACATGGAATACAGACTTCAGAAAGTACCAGATGATGCAATTGACCTATCAAACTTCAACGTAGAGGTCAGTCATGAGTACACCACACAGACGGATGCTACAAGCTGTGGTGTTTGCATATGCATAGTGAGTACAGCAAGGTCTTAGAAAGAGTTGTTCAAAACTGAATAATAACGATTAAATATTTTCTCGCCACTGATTACACTTTGACTTATTCACGGTTACTATGAAGAAAATATTTTTTTTAAATTTATGTAAATGAAAGAATACCTGGAATAGTGAGTGATTTAATGGTCACATTGAATATGATTTCGTGTTTCAGTATGCGTGGAACGAATGCAGCAAGGACAAGAAGGTGCGACCGTTTTTTTGGTGTATTGAAGTTCTAATGTATAGCAGTTATATTACAGACGATATGTATCAATTATTATTTTTAAAATAAAAACATGACATATTTTGCAGTGTGACCCGAGCAGTTACCGTTCTTTCATAGCCAAAGAAATTTTGAATGCAGTGAAGGATGTGGAACCAAAGGTACTTTATTTGTGCACTGTGAATAATTGTGACAGTAATGGGCATATACGCTACTGTTTATTGTTCGTAAGCTAACCAAAGGTATGTGTCACAAATATATCCCCGTATTTCGAATATTCAATAAGTAATTCACATGCAATTCTATTCTACTTATAAAATATGTGCTACTTGGAACATCGTTCCATTTCAGAATACAACAAAGGAAATACCAAGCAAATACGGACTGCGGGAGCAAGTTCCAGTGGTAAAACATAATGAGGTTTCACTGATACATCTAGATGGTCGATTCCATTTCATGTAGTACTGAAAATACATTTAGTATACATGCGACCCGTGAAGATCCGGGTAGAATAGGTCTTCAGCAACCCATGCTTGCCGTAAAAGGCGACTATGCTTGTCGTAAAAGGCGACTAACGGGATTGGGGGGGTCAAGCTCCCTGACTTGGTTGATGCATGTCATCTATCCCAATTGCGTGGATCGATGCTCATGATATTAATCACTGGATTGTCTGGTCCAGTGGTCCAGACTCGATTATTTACAGACAGCCGTCATATAGCTGGAATATTGCTGAATGCGGCGTTAAACAACAAACCAACCAACCAACTAGTACACATGCATGTGTTATGCACATAATGCATTAAGTACCCATGACAACAAACTGTTATGATTCATACCTAAAATACACCCGTGAAGATCCGGGTCAGAAAAGGGTCTTCAACAACCCATGCTTTTCGGAAAAACGGGTCTGTGCTTGCCGACTTTTATTCAGTGAATTTATCTCCATAAGTTTGCATGGAAGTGATTCGACCCTTTATACATGTTGTATTCACGTGCACATTCTGGTTTCATAAGGTAATAGAGAATTGACGTAATTTAATTCGTACTATAATTCATTAAACATAATAACTAGTAATAATGGTACACTGTTTCAAAATTTCATATAAAATTTATTCGCTCCTGAAATTCTGTTACTACACTCGGGACACAAATACATTTCTATATGTTTCTGAATCAGAAGAGATTTTCGGATTCGTGGTGTGCTGACCAACCTCTGCCATTGAAACGAATACGAAGACCTGAACATGCGGCAATGAAAATCCAAACACAGGTACAGAAAGTAAAATCTGATTCATGAAATATCTGAATGTTCTGTTCTTGCTCCATCACATGAAGACTTACGAAAGTATTGTACAGTTCGTATCTTAAGTTGATAAATAGTATACATTTGTCAAAAATTGGTTTGTGAATGACCATAGAATTGTTTGTATTTCATTTAGAAACCGAATCCTGAGGTGCAGCTTAAAAGGTATGATACTTTTGACAATAATTTATGAAAAGATTTTAATAATGATAATAAATCTTTGCTTGAAACATGATACGATTAAGACGATATCATAAGTTTGTAAATAATAAATTTCTATACTTGTGTCGCTTGATACACATCGACTAGTCACATAAGTTTGCAGGCAGTTATCATACAGCAATTAAAATATATTGGAGAAAGAATAATTACTAATTGCATTTACTGTTGCGAAAGAGGGAATACTAGAGATAATTATTAATTTACTACATATTATTGCAGCACAAAATGTGTCGAAAAGACGACAGTGACAAGAAAAGCCATGCGTGAGTATTTGTTTAGAAACCAACCTCATACAGTCAAGTCTCGTTAATCCGACACTCGTTAATCCGACACTCGGCTTTATCCGACACAAATGATAGGAACCGATTGATTCAGTGCTATTTAGTCCCGTTAATCCGACATTCTCGCACTCCGACTCCGACACACCTAATTTGCAACGAATTGCCGAAATCACTCATTAATCAGACTCGTTAATCCGACACAGTGGTCAGCGTACTCCGTGGTCATCTGACCGCGAGTACACAACCCCGTGTTTTGACACGCACTGGCTGCAGAGATTAACTTAACAATTAACAGGAAACGCTATTCAAACCTGTATGTACAAAGCTATACAAATGTAGTTTACAAATTGAAGCCAGATAAATGTGCATGAAGCCAGTTTAAAATACGAACAGGTATATAGAACATGGTCGACTCACCATGATCGACTGTTATGTAAACAAGAAAGCATGGATGACTTCATTAATATTCAAAGCCTGGCTACTGATCTTGGATCGGCAAATGCGATTGGAGCAACGCCACGTGGTATTGCTGTTGGACAACGCCCAATCCCATGCTACTGTCGACATAACTAATGTGAATGTCACTTTTTGCCACCAAAAACCACATTGCACATTCAGCCACTAGATGCCGGGATCATAAAGAATTTCAAGCTTTATTATAAGAAACAGCAAATTGAATTACACCTCGACAATATTGATGCTGAAGAACCACAAGCCCTAGACGTCAAGCGAGCAGGGGACTTTGAGAAATGTGCCTTCAAAATGTTAGAAACAGAAAACACTGACAGACTATTTTAAGTAGATGAAGCAAGTTGTTAAGACAGTAGCACTTGCATTTACACGAGGAAACGTGTGTCGTTGATCATGTGATAAATTCAGTGAGTAATGTCTCTAATGTTGTGTATAAATGGGAAAATTATTATTATTGTATAAGAATTAAGACACACATGCACGCACACACGCACACACATGCACACACAGACAAACACACACAGAGAAAAAGATGCCCATGGTATAAACTCAAAGTATGAATATGTTTGTTTAATACAAATAGCGGTTCCTGCAGTAGACATGAAGGAATATGGTGACCAACAAGTGAACATACTTGCTGATGATCTCGAGGAGCTGAGGACTGTGGAACGATCAGAATTCCGAAATGTGGTATGAACATTCATATATATTGACCTACAGTTTCAGTTGTAAATATTATATTGGCATAACAACTTGTGAGTTTCAATATAGATAGATGGATGATAGATAGATAGATAGATAGATGGATGGATGGATGGATGGATGGATGGATGGATGGATGGATGGATGGATGGATGGATGGATGGATGGATGGATAGATAGATAGATAGATAGATAGATAGATAGATAGATAGATAGTGTTAATTTCCAATCTCTAGACTGTAGTAAATGTGTCACGAATAACAATATGAAAACGTATTTTTGATGACGTTTTTATTCCATTGGATTTGTAACTATATAAATATGTTTCTGTGTACACTTGATAAACGGTATAACTAGGAATGTTTTGTTCCTTTAGTTGGAAAAGATAATTGATGAAGATGTACCCAGGCTGTACCGGTACCCAACAAATGATACAGAAGAAGTACCTGAAGAGTTCAGGAGACATGTGCTTTATTTTCAACGAAAGAAGCTGGAGAGGAGCAGAGCCATGTCCCACCTCAATGCTGTTGTAAATATTACTCTAATGTGACTTCACGAATGTTGAAAACGCCTATTAATTTGCCAGTGTTTGGAAATACTGATAACCATCTCAACACAGAAATACTGAGTTACATATTAAATTTGCTTACAGATAAACGGTATGTTCATACTACAGTGACATTTGTCTAACCGGCCTCTGTCTAAAGCGGATATGCCCATATATGAAGATATTTTCGATCCAAACTTTTAGACGTAAATTTATACTGAGAGTACATGACATGACTTAATGATAGAATGACTGCTTTCAGGGATATGCCATACTGATGCAGTCCATGGAGACACATTTGGTGACGAGGACAAGAGGTCCAAGGTAAGTATAGGATAAAATAAACTTAAGGAACATATTTAATTTTCCATCAAGAAGCTTCTGTTTGTTTGTCATCACTATGTAAGAATCAAACGCGTATTAAGAACGAATAAGCTTTGTTTCCACAACTGACCGATAGGTTTACGCTATACACTACCAACAAATATACAGAAATGATGTAGTGATTTATTTAATTTGCATTTTCAGACTTTATGACATCACAAAAAGAAATCTGATACTACCCGATGTTGTACTACAATTTGGACGTCCAAGGTATGTGACTGATGACTGTAAGTTGTAATACATAGTTCTGTCCTAATGGTTGTACGGGTGACAGAAACATGAGGCTTCAGCCATCACAAAAATTGCTGTCACTCGATTCATATATTTTTCAGGAACGACTATTTCCTCAAAGTGGTGGAAGATTTCATTTTCTACCATGCCAGAAAGCATTTCGAAACAAGGCACACAGGTATGTAATTCTTGAGTGGGTGAGTGAGTGAGTGAGTGTGATGCTCGTGGATATCAGTATACCAATAATAAATGAAAGGATTTGTCAGCATATTAAAGAGGAGAGAAAATGCCGAGGTCATGCAGGTCGAAGTCATGTAGGTCGAAGTCATGTAATCCTTAAATGACTGTCACTTCGTTGAAACCATTTTGTGTAAATATACTACTTTTGCATTTTCAACATGTATACTCGAACCGTGTTTTGTCGAATGTACCGATATGTCGAACCTTGTCTGTGGTCGCGACCGCCTATACAAATACATATAAATTTACCCGCATATGTGTAATTAGACACGATATAACATATCGTTATCTCGAAATTTAACTTAAATATTTAATGCTTGCCACGTTAACAGTTTTGAGAAGCACAAATAAACATCTCGCATAGTTGTGAGCAATTCTCCTACATACATGCATGTATAGGCCTATTTGTAGTATATTTCTTCTCACATCTAACAACGCTGTAAATGGATTTTGAACCAATTGTTCATACACGTATGTAGTTACAATTTTGTCCAGTTGTGATGTATGTAACTTTTAGTACGTTATTTTGTTTCAGATTCATGACAGATTGGATATGCGCTTATTTAAGAGAAAGCGTTATGAGTACATAAGAGTATATCTATTACAAAAAATGAGGACCGGGTTGATATAAGAGTGAGTGAAAGGTTGATACTGGAGTGAATGAGTGAGTGACATTAAGAAGATATGTTGTTTGAATATTGAATATTTGATGTTTGTGCTTAGTGGAAGGCCATAGAAAACTTGTTTAATAGAAATTAGCGTAAAGCAATTGACAAATTATCCACTTGTTACAAGGCTGGATAAGTGAAAGAGAGCTAAATATTCCAATGAACAAATACGCGAAATTGCAGCAAATTAAGAACATGTAGTGTGCAATTCATGGGACTAAATTAAATATAAAAGTCGTGTATGAACCCTATTTACTACTAGATTGTAATCAATACATTATAAATATGGGAACACTGCCCACTTCCTGGAATGTACAAGCAAAACAACCGAAACTAAACAACACATTAAAACAAAAATGTTATTTCAGAAAGTGGTCATATGTAACAAGTGTCATATTTGGGACAACACTTTCTCAGTAAAGTACAAATTCTCGCACTTTGTTTGGTTGAGTCCCTATCTAATTACCCACTCAGCCACCGAGGCTTACGCAAAAATGGAAGTACGACAACTGGTAGTCTAGATAACGTACTTTGTGTACCGTTCTGACAAGTGTAAATTGGCACAGCTCCCATGGCCGAAAGCTATGAACTTTACTAAGAAAGTGTCATTCAAAATATAACATTTGTTACATATGACCACTTTCTAAAATGACATTTGTGTGTTCATAAACTTAGCACTTTTGTATCCAAAATTACTATAAAGAATAAGAAGGCCTCACTGCACACTTTGGATAGCAGAAATACCAACCTGAATATAAATACAATACAAAGAACTATATATTGCACCTTACGGTTTATTAAGCAGCAGCAGCTGTGACAAGTTTATAACAATGTCATTCAAAGAATAGAACTTACACAAAAGGCTATCACTGTTGGGGACAAGAGATCTACTCACGCACCCAGTGACAAACTGGGCATCATTGATCTGAGTACTCAAGCAGTCCAGACAGACGCAACCCATGCACTGTGTCAAAGGCCGACAAACTTATTCTCAGATCTGACGTTTACAGAACAACCTTAATACATGAATCACTTCACTTAAAGTCAAAGGCTCTTCACTTAGTTTACTCTTTTCCATATTTTCAATTTTGTAGATATATGTTTGTACATATAGTCTAACACAACCATTAGCCATCAAATGTATATAAAGTTCAGTTCAGTGTCGTCTGCAGGAACTTCCATACGTATGTGTAATAGACGGAAGTGACAGTCGCTAGGGCAACGTGAATGAGTGAACTGTTCATTTGAATAATTGTGTCATTTGTACTACTTGCTCTGTGTTTATATCTAATACTCTCTTAATTATGTAATCACGACCCCAAGAACGCGAGGGTTAGTACATGTACTGGTCTTCAGCAACCCATGCTTGTAGTAAAAGACGACTAACGGGATGCATATCATCGTATACCATTTGCGTGATCGATGCTCACGATGTCAATCACTGGATTGTCTGGTGTAGACTCGATTATTTACAGACCCGTGGTCATTAGCTGGAATATTGCTGAGTGCGGCGTTGAATAACAAATATAAATGTATTAATGGCCTTAAATGTTGATGTGACCCTATGGGGAGTCCTAAAGAAGTAGGCGTTGCCTCAAGTAACCTGTGCTTGTCGTAAGCGGCGACTTACGTGGACTGGGTGGTCGGACTCGGTGACTCGGTTGATTGAGTGTCACAGTATCCCGAGTGTGTTAATATTTGCTGGTGAAGCTATTTGAAGCAGGTATACCTAACACACCTTTTTATTACAATGGATATATTTTATGTGTTTATTATTCTGTTATGAATAAATGTCTTTGTTATCATGTACCCCAAAGTTTGAGTTCTTTGTGTGCACTTAATGCCTGTGTATGGTGTTATACGCTTCAACGGCTACATCACGGCGTCGGGGGGCTGCAGGAATGGGCTTCAAACGAAACATTACCCCGATGTAAGGAATCGAACTCGACAGTTTCGGCGTTGATTGAGACACTGAGCTACCCTATCGCTAATATGGACATATTTTCTTCACACCTATTACATTTACAAATATTACCGTGCACAGTGGAATCTGTCGGGACAGGACTTTAACTAATCAGCATTTGTAATACAAGGCGATATCAATGGTGCCGAATATACTATGATTCATAATAATACTTCTATAATATTCCTAACACAGGCCTCTGTAACAATCAGACTAACTTTCGGCCCCACAATAGGTAAAACGTTCATTTCACCTGGATGTCAAAACAATGACGCAATGAAGTCCGAAGCAGATATTCCACTGTACTACACAACACACATTGAACGTCAAAAGCCCATTGGATGAATGTGCAATTGCAATGCTGATGCGATAGGGTAATTCTCTCAAATGTTGGCGGCAAAGGGAATTCCAAAGCTTTGTACACATAGATTGCGGTGTTCTCAGCATTCCAGAGAATCCTGCGCTCGTCCTTACGGTAGACTTCACCAAATGCATGGTGATAAATGATGATTTGTTTGTTGTTTAACGCCGCACTCAGCAGTATTCTAGCTATATGACGGCGTCTGTAAATAATCGAACCTGCACCAGACAATCCAGTGATTAACATCATGAGCATCTATCTACGCAATTGGAATAAGATGACATACATCAACTAAGTCAGCGAGCCTGACAACCCGATCCTGTTAATCGCCTTTTACGAAATGCATGGGTTGCTGACGACCGATTCTAATCAGGAGCATAAACGGCGTCTCACCTACCATGGGAGGTATTTACAGGTTGTTACAATCAGCAATCCCCGTTATTTGAATCGGCCAGATGTTGTATTTTTAGTAATTTATTGTGTATTGTTCGTCATACATGATGCGACACACTAATGCAATATTTTCGCCTTTGTTAACGGTACCAAAACACTACAGAGATGTAATGATGATTTCCCCTGATATTGTGCAGTCTGGATCAATTAGAATTGACTGAAGGGTTTGGCAATAACACTATGGTCATATAAATTCGTCTACCGTAAATAAATCAGAATTGATTAAGTAAACTATGTAACTAACTTTTCTGACAAACACTAAATACATTTTTATATTAAAAAGTGCAGAACATTGAAAAAATATTTTAATTATCTCAAGAAGCCGGCGTGAGAGTTCTGGAGACAGATGTGAGTGAGGGGCGCCCCGTATTTCTACAGCCTCGTAATAAAGGATCTGGCGAGGGAGACTTGCCGCCAGTCTATGTAACTTAACTCTCCCCGGGGTTCACGCTTACTGGCACTTCCTTGTGGCTCCCGGCACACGGCACATAGGAGCCTTCCCCTACTCAAAGTAACTGTTTATAAGCTCCTCACACTCTGGGTAGGACAGCAGAAGCAAGCTCCTCCACACCGCTAGCACACCTCGCTAAGTAACACGAGCGCCACCCGACGGCCAGGCAAAAACTGGTTCTACAGGTGCTACGCGACGCAAGCTCAAGTAGACAGTCTGATATCTGGCTAATGAGACCTGACTGTGTGTGGCAGTAGTACAACTGGACTGTGACAGTGTCAGGCAGTGTTACAACTGGGCTGTGACAGTGTCAGGCAGTGTTACAACTGGACTGTGACAGTGTGAGGCAGTGTTACAACTGGACTGTGACAGTGTGAGGCAGTGTTACAGCTGGACTGTGACAGTGTCAGGCAGGAGAACAACTGGACTGTGACAGTGTCATGCAGAGCTACAACTGGACCGTGACAGTGTCAGGCAGTGTTACAGCTGGACTGTGACAGTGTCAGGCAGGAGAACAACTGGACTGTGACAGTGTCATGCAGAGCTACAACTGGACTGTGACAGTGTCAGGCAGTGTTACAACTGGACTGTGACAGTGTCAGGCAGTGTTACAACTGGACTGTGACAGTTTCAGGCAGTGTTACAACTGGACTGTGACAGTGTCAGGCAGTGTAACAACTGGACTGTGACAGTGTCAGGCAGTGTTACAGCTGGACTGTGACAGTGTCAGTCAGTGTTACAACTGGACTGTGACAGTGTCAGGCAGTGTTATAACTGGACTGTGACAGTGTCAGTCAGTGTTACAACTGGACTGTGACAGTGTCAGGCAGTGTTATAACTGGACTGTGACAGTGTCAGGCAGTAATACAACTGGACTGTGACAGTGTCAGGCAGTGTTACAACTGGACTGTGACAGTGTCAGTCAGTGTTACAACTGGACTGTGACAGTGTCAGGCAGTGTGACAACTGGACTGTGACAGTGTCAGGCAGTGTTACAACTGGACTGTAACAGTGTCAGGCAGTGTTACAACTGGACTGTGACAGTGTCAGGCAGTAGTACAACTGGACTGTGACAGTGTCAGGCAGTAGAACAACTGGACTGTGACAGTGTCAGGCAGTGTTACAACTGGACTGTGACAGTGTCAGGCAGTGTTACAACTGGACTGTGACAGTGTCAGGCAGTGTTACAACTGGACTGTGACAGTTTCAGGCAGTGTTACAACTGGACTGTGACAGTGTCATGCAGTGTTACAACTTTACTGTGACAGTGTCAGGCAGTAGTACAACTGGACTGTGACAGTGTCAGGCAGTAGCACAACTGGACTGTGACAGTGTCAGGCAGTAGTACAACTGGACTGTGACAGTGTCAGGCAGTAGCACAACTGGACTGTGACAGTGTCAGGCAGTAGCACAACTGGACTGTGACAGTGTCAGGCAGTAGTACAACTGGACTGTGACAGTGTCAGGCAATAGCACAACTGGACTGTGACAGTTTCAGGCAGTAGAACAACTGGACTGTGACAGTGTCAGGCAGTAGCACAACTGGACTGTGACAGTGTCAGGCAGTAGTACAACTAGTCTGTGACAGTGTCAGGCAGTAACACAACTGGACTGTGACAGTGGCAGGCAGTGTTACAACTGGACTGTGACAGTGTCAGGCAGTAATACAACTAGACTGTGACAGTGTCAGACAGTAACACAACTAGACTGTGACAGTGTCAGGCAGTAATACAACTGGACTGTGATAGTGTCAGGCAGTGTTACAACTAGACTGTGACGGTGTCAGGCAGTAATACAACTAGACTGTGACAGTGTCAGGCATTAATACAACTGGACTGTGACAGTTTCAGGCAGTGTTACAACTGGACTGTGATAGTGTCAGGC